CCTGCTGAAGGTAGCTGCTTTTGTTCTTTTTGAGACTAGGAACGGATTGATCGGTAGAAATAACTTTATAGCTCTAATGTATTCAGCCAGCTGTTAGGCATTGATTTGCTACTGCATGACAGTCTGATTCAATCCCCCTTCTTTTCAGAAGATGGGAACCTCCTCCAAAACACCAGTGTGCTGCAAAGGCTGTAGAGCACTTACTAAATGTATTGCAAGCAAAGTTCTCTAATCTGTTTTATAGTTTATGAAGAAAGAACATCAGGAGACAGGAGGTTTCTTCAGCTACTCTTGAGGTCACTGACAAGTCTTGGCATTGTTGATAGTGAATCCTAATTAAATGGGGTCCGTGGGGATGTGTAAGAGGACTGATGATGATCAACATTTCTATCAGTGATATGGGAATTGATATAGAATTGCTGTGGAGAGAAATTGAGGATGAGCCATAGACTGACAGGCTGGTAAATAAAATGAATGCTTCTGATAGTCTTGTAGAGTGCTTTTGGTCTTTTCCTAACTTGAGCTCATGCCAACGCAATGGGCTCTTAATGACCCAACTGCAGGGTTATGAATCTCAGTACTGAAAGCTCTGGCCGTATCTTCTGCATCAAGGCTGATGTTTGGAAAGAAGTGGCTTGGAGAGCAATTTTGGGGATACAGTGGGCAGGTAATTTGGCAAAGCTTCCCAGTGTCCTGCTTGACCCAACAGATGATGTGGGTGTAAAGAAAGTGAGGTAGTCACTGGAATGGTTTGCTGCCTCTGCATCCAGCAGCATTCAGGAAAATGAACCTCAGAATAGTGGCTTTAGTGTTGAAAAACTGAGAAAAGGATGGACATGGGAGCTACTGAAATGTTTTGGAAACTGAAGACGAAGCAAACTCCATCTGTTTAGCTTACTGAAAGGGGACTATTGTCAATTATTTTCTCACAGGGAAATTTTGACATACTAAGAGGCATGCATAATACAAATAAATGGCTACAAAATAAGTCCACATGGACTGGAATGAAATGCCTGAGTGTGTGTGGTTTTTTTTTTTTTCTGATTGACTATTGGAAGTTATCCAGCGAAGTGATGGATTCTCTATTTCTTGATGCCTTTTTTTTTTTTTTTTTTAAACCATGGATTTTTGTGATGTGTGTGTTTATCCTTGGTGGGAGGAATCATTGACAGTGTGAAACGGCAAGTGGAAGGAGCTGTGGTCTCCAGGAGGCTGGTGTAGCCCCTTGGGCTGTAAGTACTATGAAACCTAGCTAGCATGTCCATTCTTAATATTGCTGTTCAGGTTGAAGTGTGGGTGAACAAATCCTTCCGAGCAGCAGCATGTTGGTACCTGTGTCTAGTTACTTTCATTTGTACTCCAAAGCCTCTAATCCATCCTGTGCCTGTTCTTGTGGTGAACTCTTTAAATAGGACTCTTCTCTGTTCCTGTGGCTGGGGCTCATCATGAAGACAGAAGTTAGTGCAGCACACGTTAGCTGTCAGCTTGGACTGAACTGATAGCTCACGAGCAGGACAGTTCTGTGCAATCAGTGATATTTTTGGAAGCCACCTCCGTTAAAGGTGAATCTGTGCTACAAAACAGTGAGCAGATCTGTGATGATGCTCAGAGCAATGCATGCTGCTGGGTTTGGCAGAGGGCTGGCCAAACTGGTGGAGGTTGTGGGAAGGTCCTCTGTGAGCTGCTGAAATGAATCCTGGAAAGACCAGTGCGTCAGCTAAGACCTGGTGGGTATCTGCATACCTGATGCTCCAGGCTCATACAATTAGTTAAAGCTTGTTTGGGTCCCATGCACCCTATATGCTGGAGCAATGTTTTAATCATGTTGGAGAAACCTTTTGCCTGGGTGCCATGAAATGATAGATATGGTAGAGAAGATTAAAACAAACAAAAGTGTGTGTTGGCCCATTGATAGCTTTTTTTAATGCTGTGCCTTGTTAACCATTAATCCTGGGTACAAATCACTTACTGCCTTGCCCTTATTAATACCAAAGTGGAATGCTGCCAGCATGTTCCATATCTACTGCCAGACTTCTGCCTTTGAGGGGTCACTTGCATAGCAGTTGCCACCATTAGTGAGTAGTTCACAAAGTTAGGCCAAAGCTAGAAGTTTGTCCTGTCTCTTTTGAAGAAGAAAGAAAGAAAAAATTGCCATTGTGCAGTAACTGAACATTTGGACTTAAAATAACTGTACTCCCCTTCCAGCTCTGCTCCAAATACCCCGTGTGCTGTGGCTGGTGTTGCACCTCTTACAAAGAGCTTGCTCTCAAAATGAGACTCCTGAGAGGCTCTCTGAGGACGTGGTGCCATGGAGGGCGACTGTTCTGGCTGTGCTGGGATGCTGTCATGGAGGGCGGGGAAGGAGAAGGGGAGAGAGGAGGAGTGAGGTCTTGAGCAAGGTGACATTGAGGAGCAGGAACAGCTAGGTGGAAGACAGGCATCTGCTCTCCTTGAGTGGCACATGGGGAATGGGGAGGGAGGGGGGAAATAGTGAAAAATGCATTGTAATGATGCTGTGGAAATCCTGCACAGGATAGAGCTGGGCCAGCATGAAGCTATTAATAAAACAGCAGTGTCTCTCTCTGTGCCAAGTACGCCAATGGGTGGAACCATAAAAATGACATTGGGTTGGTTTAGAAATGAGCAAGTGCTGGCATGCTGCAGCTGCCCAGGAGCAAGGGATGGAAAGCGGGCGGGAGGATAGGATGTGATGATTGCTTTTATGCATCTGCAGTTCAAAGGTGAACTGCAAGAGGAGAAAGATGTATTGTTTTGCTAGTGATAAGCTCTGTTTTGAAAGTAATTTTTCTGCTATCTTCCCGACAGAATATGTGTGCCGCTAGATGGGAGTTTCGGTTTCTCACTGATGTCTTGATGTCTGTCTCCAGTGGATT